ACCTGCCTCTGCCTCTCAATGCCTCTACCTGCCTCTACCTGCCTCTACCTGCCTCTACCTGCCTCTACCTGCCTCTACCTACCTCTACCTGCCTCTACCTGCCTCTACCTGCCTCTGCCTCTCAATGCCTCTACCTGCCTCTCAATGCCTCTACCTGCCTCTACCTGCCTCTACCTGCCTCTAACTGCTCACTACCTCTACTGCCTCTACCTGCCTCTACCTGCCTCTGCCTCTCAATGCCTCTACCTGCCTCTACCTGCCTCTACCTGCCTCTGCCTCTCAATGCCTCTACCTGCCTCTACCTGCCTCTACCTGCCTCTACCTGCCTCTACCTGCCTCTACCTACCTCTACCTGCCTCTACCTGCCTCTACCTGCCTCTGCCTCTCAATGCCTCTACCTGCCTCTACCTGCCTCTACCTGCCTCTCAATGCCTCTACCTGCCTCTACCTGCCTCTACCTGCCTCTACCTGCCTCTACCTGCCTCTACCTGCTCTACTGCCTCTACAACTGCCTCTACTGCCCTGCCTCTCAATGCCTCTACCTGCCTCTACCTGCCTCTACCTGCCTCTACCTGCCTCTACCTACCTCTACCTCCTCTACCTGCCTCTACCTGCCTCTACCTGCCTCTCCTCCAATGCCTCTACCTGCCTCTACCTGCCTCTACCTGCCTCTAGCTGCCTCTACTGCCATCTCTACCTCTACCTACTTACCTGCCCTCCTACCTGCCTCTACCTGCCTCTACCTGCCTCTAACTCCTCTACCTGCCTCTACCTGCCTCTACCTGCCTCTACGCCTCTCAATGCCTCTACCTGCCTCTACCTGCCCTACCTGCCTCTCACCTGCCTCTACCTGCCTCTACCTGCCTCTACCTGCCTCTACCTGCCTCTACCTAGCCTCTACCTGCCTCTACCTGCCTCTACCTGCCTCTACCTGCCTTACTCCTCTACCTACCTCTACCTGCCTCTACCTGCCTCTACCTGCCTCTACCTGCCTCTACCTGCCTCTACCTGCCTCTACCTACCTCTACCTGCCTCTACCTGCCTCTACCTGCGTCTACCTGCCTCTCAATGCCTCTACCTGCCTCTACCTGCCTCTACCTGCCTCTACCTGCCTTCCTTCTCACCTGCCTCTACCTACCTCTACCTCCTCTCAATGCCTCTACCTGCCTCTACCTGCCTCTACCTGCCTCTACCTGCCTCTCAATGCCTCTACCTGCCTCTACCTGCCTCTACCTGCCTCTACCTGCCTCTCAATCTAATGCCTCTACCTGCCTCTACCTGCCTCTACCTGCCTCTACTTAATGCTCTACCTGCCTCTACCTGCCTCTACTGCCTCATGCCTCACTGCCTCTACCTGCCTCTACCTGCCTCTACCTGCCTCTCAATGCCTCTACCTGCCTCTACCTGCCTCTACCTGCCTCTACCTGCCTCTACCTGCCTCTACCTGCCTCTACCTGCCTCTCCCTGCCTCTGCCCTCCTCTACCTGCCTCTACCTGCCTCTCACTGCCTCTACCTGCTCACCTGCCTCTACATGCCTCTACTGCCTCTACCTGCCTCTACCTGCCTCTCACTGCCCACTTTTCTACCTCCTCTACCTGCCTCTACCTGCCTCTCATCCTCTACCCTGCCTCTACCTGCCTCTACCTGCCTCTACTGCCTCTCTGCCTCTACCTGCCTCTACCTGCCTCTACCTGCCTCTACCTGCCTCTCAATGCCTCTACTGCCGTCTACCTGCCAATTACTGCCGTCTACCTTGCTTCTAAACTGCCTCAACTGCTCTTACCTGCTTACCATTCCTCTAACACTGCCAATTCTCACATCCTCTAACCGCCTCTGACCTGCCTCGTCAATGGCCCACCTGCCTCTACCTGCCCACTGCCTCCTACCTACCCTCGTGCCCTCTACTGCCTCAACTGCCTACCCACGTGAGCCTACTGCTGCGCTTATCATAATACCATGAACTCATCAAAAATAGCATCATTACTAATGCTTATAATATACTAAAACTGTTTCATTCTTACCTGCTTAACTGGCCCTCCCACCCTGCCCATGCCCTCATCACTGCCTCACTGCCTCTCTGCCTCGAAGGTCTCCTCTACACTCCTACACTGTCCTTAAACTGCCTAACACCTCCTCGAGGCCAGCACTTACTTCCCATTCTCAGGACTCTAATCCTGCCTCACAATTCACCACTGAACAATTAAATGTCGTTATCTTGTAGATAATAAGACTCAAAAAATTACAGATATTTGTTAATTATCTTAATGAACGAAGGCTTTCAATCCTTACACTGCCACAAGTTTTAGCCCCCCATGGCCCCCTCCGCATGGCCCTTCCGCCGTGGCCCTTCTATCATGGCCATAAATTGCTAACACCAACGTAAAGAGCAGTAACAGTGCAAGGAATTATAATAATTACAAAAATAATAATAATAATAATAATAATAATAATAATAATAATAATAATAATAATAAAATTATTATTTTTTATTTATTGACACATCGGCCGCTTCCCACCAAGGCAGGGTGGCCCGAAAAAGAAAAACTTTCACCATCATTCACTCCATCACTGTCTTGCCAGAAGGGTGCTTTACACTACAGTTTTTAAACTGCAAACATTAACACCCCTCCTTCAGAGTGCAGGCACTGTACTTCCCATCTCCAGGACTCAAGTCCGGCCTGCCGGTTTCCCTGAATCCCTTCATAAATGTTACTTTGCTCACACTCCAACAGCACGTCAAGTATTAAAAACCATTTGTCTCCATTCACTCCTATCAAACACGCTCACGCACGCCTGCTGGAAGTCCAAGCCCCTCGCACACAAAACCTCCTTTACCCCCTCCCTCCAACCTTTCCTAGGCTGACCCCTACCCCGCCTTCCTTCCACTACAGACTGATACACTCTTGAAGTCATTCTGTTTCGCTCCATTCTCTCTACATGTCCGAACACCCTCAACAACCCTTCCTCAGCCCTGTGGACAACAGTTTTTGGTAATCCCGCACCTCCTAACTTCCAAACTACGAATTCTCTGCATTATATTCACACCACACATTGCCCTCAGACATGACATCTCCACTGTCTCCAGCCTTCTCCTCGCTGCAACATTCTCACCCATGCTTCACACCCATATAAGAGCATTGGTAAAACTATACTCTCATACATTCCCCCTCTTTTGCCTCCAAGGACAAAGTTCTTTGTCTCCACAGACTCCTAAGTGCACCACTCACTCTTTTCCCCTCATCAATTCTATGATTCACCTCATCTTTCATAGACCCATCCGCTGACACGTCCACTCCCAAATATCTGAATACATTCAACTCCTCCATACTCTCTCCCTCCAATCTGATATCCAATCTTTCATCACCTAATCTTTTTGTTATCCTCATAACCTTACTCTTTCCTGTATTCACTTTCAATTTTCTTCTTTTGCACACCCTACCAAATTCATCCACCAATCTCTGCAACTTCTCTTCAGAATCTCCCAAGAGCACAGTGTCATCAGCAAAGAGCAACTGTGACAACTCCCACTTTATGTGTGATTCTTTATCTTTTAACTCCACACCTCTTGCCAAGACCCTCGCATTTACTTCTCTTACAACCCCATCTATAAATATATTAAACAACCACGGTGACATCACACAATCAATAATAATTATAATCTTTATTTCTTCAAGTACATGATATAACTTTTATTTGTTGAATAAGGAATATACTGGCTTCTAGCTTGTATATATTCGTATATTCTCAAGCATGTATAGTATTTATACTGGAGTTACAGTATCCTGAGGAGCGAGTGTAAGTATGGGAACCCTCACAAGGGTTAGTTATTGTATGAGTTAGTCAACTTGAAGCTTGTGAGGACCTGACCCTTATAGGACGGCCCCTTGTTACAAGGTAGCCTACCCTGGGGCCCCTTCCCTCCTTACCTGACCAGCATTACTGGTAGTTACCATGTATGTGAATGGGGGTGGGTGCCTTCATTGAAGATGGTTATTGGAGATGTGCTGGTATATGACATACTCTGTTATGGCCCTTCTGTATGGCCCTTCCTGTGTAGCTCTTCCTGTGTGGCCCTTCCTGTGTGCCCCTTCTTGTGTATCCCTTCTTGTGTAGCCCTTCCTGTATGGCCCTTATCTTATGGCCCTATCATGGCCCTGTTTTCATGACCATTACAGCTCAGATGTGGTCCCTACAGTAGCCTCTGAGCCTATCACCTGTGTGTCACCTGATACACCTGTCCATCACTCATTACACCTGTCTCTGCCACTCCTATACATACCTGTCTCCACCACTAAGATACACACCTGTCTCCACCACTCATGTACACACCTGTCACCACCACTCAGGTACACACCTGTCACCACCACTCAGGTACACACCTGTCACCACCACTCAGGTACACACCTGTCACCACCACTCAGGCACACACCTGTCACCACCACTCAGGTACACACCTGTCACCACTACTCAGGTGCACACCTGTCTTCACCACCCAGGTACACATCTGTCTCCAAAATTCTAAATTAATCACTTTAACTAACTTTAAACTTGACAAAGTTCTAAGCTACTGCTGGTGAAACTGACTCACCAGACTGAACTTTCCTGCTGACTGGGAGGGTTCATCAGTCAATCAGTTAGTCAGTCAAGTCATGTGCATCTATGTACACCTCTGGCTGATAAATTATACACATGTGCAACACTTGGGTATCTTCAATGAGGCAACGTTTCGCCACACAGTGGCTTCATCAGCCTAATACAAAAAAAATGGCAAGATCAGGAGTTTGAGGTAATCAGTCCCTCAGACAGGAAGGACTGATGAAGCCACTGTGGGGCGAAACGTTTCCACCAAAAAGACACCCAAGTGCTGCACATGTGTCCAGTGTATTAACTCTACCGACACTGTCCGACACTGAACCGACACTGTCACTGGAACGTACGTTCCAATGACAGTACCTCTCCATATGTACGTATATTTGCATGTACATGTCCGTGCCGACAGATGGCGCACCTGGACGTCGTAGTGCCACCGGAGATCGTAGACAACGAAACGTCAGGAGAAACCACCGTAGAGGAAGGGAACTCGGTTACGCTAACTTGTAAGGCCCGCGGCTTCCCGCACCCCGTTGTGTCTTGGAGACGGGAAGACAACCTCAAGATTGTCCTTAGAGACCAGGCCAGCAAGAAAGGTCAGTGGCAAGGTCCGTGTTGTGGGGGTTCTAATGTCCCAGGACCAGTTCTAGACGAGGGATTGAGCCTTTATTATGCCTTAAGTGAGGCTGTAGTGGTGGTAGTAGTAATGATAATAATAATAATAATAATAATAATATCAGATTGTTGCTACTACTGTTGCTACTACTGTTTCTACTACTGTTGCTACTACTGTTTCTACTACTGTTGCTACTACTACGACTACCACTACTGTTACTACCATTATATTGTCAGTACTGCTACCGTTACTACTACAGTTACTAATAATAATAATAATAATAATAATAATAATTATGATTTCCACTGTACCTACAACTGTTTTTGTGCTGACGGTGACTTCACTGCTGCTGGTGCTGCTGCTGGTGCTGCTGTGGTGCTGCTGCTGGTGCTGCTGTTGGTGCTGGTGGTGTGTGTGTGTGGGGGGGGGGGTTGTTGACCAAGCAGTAACAAGCACTGAGGGAGAACAGTTGCTGTTGACCCGGGTCAAGAGGTCAGACATGGGACCTTACCTCTGTATCGCCAAGAACGGCATCCCGCCCTCCGTCAGCAAGCGTATTATGCTTAGAGTCAATTGTAAGTAACCACTGTCACCACCACTATCACCACCACCACTATCACCACCACCACTATCACCACCACTATCACCACCACCACTATCACCACCACTATCAGCACCACCACTATCACCACCATCATTGTCACCACCACTATCACCACCACCACTGTCACCACCACTATCACCACCACCACTATCACCACCATCACTGTCACCACCACTATCACCACCACCACTATCACCACGACCACTGTCACCACCACTATCACCACCACCACTGTCACCACCACCACTGTCACCACCACTATCACCACCACCACTATCACCACCACCACTGTCACCACCACCACTATCACCACCACCACTGTCACCACCACCACTGTCACCACCACTATCACCACCACCACTATCACCACCACCACTGTCACCCACCACCACTATCACCACCACCACTGTCACCACCACTATCACCACCACTATCACACCACCACCACTGTCACCACCACCACTGTCACCACCACTATCACCACCACACACTATCACCACCACCACTGTCACCACCACTATCACCATCACCACCACCACTACCACCACCACTACTACCACCACCAGTATCACCATCACCACCACCACTACCATCACCACTATCACCATCACTGTAGGTTCATATATAATACCGCATAGCTCCTGATGAAACACTGGCCACAGTGTGGAAGGCCTAGAACTCGTTCTTTGTATCCCCTAGTGACTTGTTGTGCATATACATAACAGGTGACATGCAGCCTTAATATCCAACATTTCGTTAATAACTTAAAGCCTAATTAACCAGGCAAGAATCAGATGTATAAGACAGGAGACAGTGTATGTGACAGTGTAGGAGGCAGTGTATGTGACAGTGTAGGAGGCAGTGTGTGTGACAGTGTAGGAGGCAGTGTATGTGACAGTGTAGGAGGCAGTGTATGTGACAGTGTAGGAGGCAGTGTGTGTGACAGTGTAGGAGGCAGTGTATGTGACAGTGTAGGAGGCAGTGTATGTGACAGTGTAGGAGGCAGTGTATGTGACAGTGTAGGAGGCAGTGTATGTGACAGTGTAGGAGGCAGTGTATGTGACAGTGTAGGAGGCAGTGTATGTGACAGTGTAGGAGGCAGTGTGTATGACAGTGTAGGAGGCAGTGTATGTGACAGTGTAGGAGGCAGTGTATGTGACAGTGTAGGAGGCAGTGTATGTGACAGTGTAGGAGGCAGTGTATGTGACAGTGTAGGAGGCAGTGTATGTGACAGTGTAGGAGGCAGTGTATGTGACAGTGTAGAAGGCAGTGTATGTGACAGTGTAGGAGGCAGTGTATGTGACAGTGTAGGAGGCAGTGTATGTGACAGTGTAGAAGGCAGTGTATGTGACAGTGTAGGAGGCAGTGTATGTGACAGTGTAGGAGGCAGTGTATGTGACAGTGTAGGAGGCAGTATAAGAGACAGTGTAGGAGGCAGGGTAAGAGACAGTGTAGAAGACAGTGTAAGAGACAGTGTAGGAGGCAGTGTAAGAGACAGTGTAGGAGGCAGTATAAGAGACAGTGTAGGAGGCAGTGTAAGAGACAGTGTAAGAGGCAGTGTAAGAGACAGTGTAGAAGACAGTGTAAGAGACAGTGTAGGAGGCAGTATAAGAGACAATGTAGAATGCAGTGTAAGAGACAGTGTAGAAGGCAGTGTAAGAGACAGTGTAGAAGGCAGTGTAAGAGACAGTGTAGGAGGCAGTATAAGAGACAGTGTAGGAGGCAGTGTAAGAGACAGTGTAGTAGGCAGTGTAAGAGACAGTGTAGGAAGAAGTGTAAGAGACAGTGTAGAAGGCAGTGTAAGAGACAGTGTAGAAGGCAGTGTAAGAGACAGTGTAGAAGGCAGTGTAAGAGACAGTGTAGGAAGCAGTATAAGAGACAGTGTAGGAGGCAGTGTAAAAGACAGTGTAGGAGGCAGTATAAGAGACAGTGTAGGAGGTAGTGTAAGAGACAGTGTAGTAGGCAGTGTAAAAGACAGTGTAGGAAGCAGTGTAAGAGACAGTGTAGAAGGCAGTGTAAGAGACAGTGTAGAAGGCAGTGTAAGAGACAGTGTAGAAGGCAGTGTAAGAGACAGTGTAGGAAGCAGTATAAGAGACAGTGTAGGAGGCAGTGTAAGAGACAGTGTAGGAGGCAGTATAAGAGACAGTGTAGGAGGCAACGCAAGAGACAGTGTAGGAGGCAGTGTAAGAGACAGTGTAGGAGGCAGTATAAGAGACAGTGTAGGAGGCAGTGTAAGAGACAGTGTAAGAGGCAGTGTAAGAGACAGTGTAGGAGGCAGTATAACAGTGTAGGAGGCAGTATAAGAGACAGTGTAGGAGACAGTGTAAGAGACATTGTAGGAGGCAGTATAGGAGACAGTGTAGGGGACAGTATAAGAGACAGTGTAGGAGGCAGTGTAAGAGACAGTGTAGGAGGCAGTATAAGAGATGGTGTAGGAGGCAGTGTAAGAGACAGTGTAGGAGGCAGTGTAAGAGACAGTGTAGGAGCCAGTATAAGAGATAGTGTAGGAGGCAGTATAGGAGACAGTGTAGGGGACAGTATAAGAGACAGTGTAGGTGGCAGTGTAAGAGACAGTGTAGGAGGCAATATAAGAGATAGTGTAGGAGGCAGTGTAAGAGACAGTGTAGGAGGCAGTGTAAGAGACAGTGTAGGAGGCAGTATAAGAGATAGTGTAGGAGACAGTGTAAGAGACAGTGTAGGAGGCAGTATAAGAGATAGTGTAGGAGGCAGTATAGGAGACAGTGTAGGGGACAGTATAAGAGACAGTGTAGGAGGCAGTGTAAGAGACAGTGTAGGAGGCAGTATAAGAGATAGTGTAGGAGGCAGTGTAAGAGACAGTGTAGGAGGCAGTATAAGAGATAGTGTAGGAGGCAGTATAGGAGACAGTGTAGGGGACAGTATAAGAGACAGTGTAGGAGGCAGTGTAAGAGACAGTGTAGGAGGCAGTATAAGAGATAGTGTAGGGGGCAGTATAGGAGCCAGTGTAGAGGACAGTATAAGAGACAGTGTAGGAGGCAGTGTAAGAGACAGTGTAGGAGGCAGTGTAAAAGACAGTGTAGGAGGCAGTATAGGAGACAGTGTAGGGGACAGTATAAGAGACAGTGTAGGAGGCAGTGTAAGAGACAGTGTAGGAGGCAGTATAAGAGATAGTGAAGGAGGCAGTGTAAGAGACAGTGTAGGAGGCAGTGTAAGAGACAGTGTTGAAGGCAGTGTAAGAGACAGCGTAGAAGGCAGTGTAAGAGACAGTGTAGGAGGCAGTGTAAGAGACAGTGTAGGAGGCAGTATAAGAGATAGTGTAGGAGGCACTGTAAGAGACAGTGTAGAAGGCAGTGTAAGAGACAGTGTAGAAGGCATTGTAAGAGACAGTGTAGAAGGCAGTGTAAGAGACGGTGTAGGAGGCAGTGTAAGAGACAGTGTAGAAGGCAGTATAAGAGACAGTGTAGGAGGCAGTTTAAGAGACAGTGTAGGATGCAGTGTAAAAGACAGTGTAGGAATCAGTGTAAGAGACAGTGTAGGAGGCAGTATAAGAGACAGTGTAGGAGGCAGTGTAGTTGATGCTGTGTTCTCTTCCACAGTCGCTCCTGTGTTGGAAGTTCCAGTCCACATGATCGGGTCACCTCTGTCTAAGGAGGTTACAGTCAGGTGTAAGGTGGAGTCATCGCCCAGAGCTGTGACTACCTGGAGGAGAGAGCCAGGTGAGTACCAGGTGTGTTAGTGTTAGTACAAGGTTTGTTAGTGTGAGTACCAGGTGTGTGTGTGTATGTGTGTGAGTACCAGGTGTGTTAGTGTGAGTACCAGGTGTGTTAGTGTTAGTACCAGGTGTGTTAGTGTGAGTACCAGGTGTGTTAGTGTGAGTACCAGGTGTGTTAGTGTGAGTACCAGGTGTGTTAGTGTGAGTACCAGGTGTGTTAATGTGAATACCAGGTGTGTTAGTGTGAATACCAGGTGTGTTAGTGTGAATACCAGGTGTGTTAGTGTGAGTACCAGGTGTGTTAGTGTGAATACCAGGTGTGTTAGTGTCAGTACCAGGTGTGTTAGTGTGAATACCAGGTGTGTTAGTGTGAGTTCCAGGTGTATTAGTGTATGTACCAGGTGTGTTAATGTGTGTACCAGGTGTTAGTGTGTGTACCAGGTGTTAGTGTGTGTACCAGGTGTGTTAGCGTTGGTGACGAGTGCTGATGACAGGTGTGCGTCTAACGTGTACGTGCTCACTATCCCTCCCACGTCCTGTACGTGTTCACTAATCCACGTCCCGTACGCATTCATAACCCTCCTACGTCCCGTAGGTGTTCACTAACCCTCCCACGTCCCGTACGTATTCACTAACCCTCCCACGTCCCGTACGTGTTCACTAACCCTCCCACGACCTCCCTACTTGGCCAGGCGAACAAATGATCATCAGTAGCAGAAAGTACAACGTCTCGGAGGAACAACAAGGCTTCTACGTCACTCAGATGAGCCTCACCATCAGGAACTTCACTAAGAGTGACGCCACGACGTACCGCTGCGTCGCCAGTAACTCCCTCGGCGCCAGCGCTTCTTCCGTCCAGGTTTATGGTAAGTCCCGTCGCTCGGGGCGACGGAACCGGGAGTTCCAGGAGCCACAAATACTACTTAAAAATTAAGATACGTGTCCAACAGTTGGGTATATTTACTAATGATACGTTTCGCCTACACAGTAGACTTCTTCAGTCCAGTTACATGGATCTGAACTCCAGGCTGAGGGACTGACCACCTCAAATACTTTTTCTTCAAGGCTAATAGACTGATTACATTATATTTATTTAATTACTATTGCTGCCTCTGTATTTGACTGAAGAAGCCAACTCTAGCACATGTATCTTAATCTTCAACTTGTCAATATTTAATACTATTTCCAACAGGCCTTCTGACCCATACAAGGCAGAGGCTTATCAAAACTACCCAAGAATTGGCTTCAATGCCTCACTAATGGAGTTGAATGGCATAAAATACCGTCACGATGGAAAAATGAACACAAATACTGTATAATGCGGTCATTTATTGACAACGTTTCGCCCATATAGTGGACTTTATCAAGTCCCAAACAGATCTACCTGGGTAAAGAATACATGAGCATATATAGTGTGGAGAGTTTACCCAGGTAGATCTGTTTGTGACTTCATAAAGCTCACTGTGTGGGCGAAACGTTGTCAATACAGGATCACATTATACTGCATTATGTTGATTTTTCCATCTCAGGTACTAATCCAACCCGATCCCTTTCACTCATATATTTGTCCAGTCTCGTTTTTAAAGCTAGCCAAAGAGTTAGTTAGCCTCTGTTACCTCTATTAGCCTGGTTGCCAGCAAGGAAACTATGATGAGACTAAGAAAGATGGAAGAAGAAGAAAGAAGGAGAGGTCAGGAAGGTGGAAGGAGAAGGAGGAGAGGTGAGACCTCTTAAGGAGGTAAAGAACTCAATAATTTATAATGGGGTGATGATGGGAAATTAGGTTAATATCGTCGATTAAATGGCTCACTATCTGAGAGATGGTGAGGAGAGGGGAGGAGGGAGAGATGGCAGGGAGATGGCAGGGAGAGATGACAGGGAGAGATGACAGGGAAATACTGTAGGGAGAAGGAGATATTGTAGGGAGAATGAGAGATGGTAGGGAGAGGGAGATATGGTAGGGAGAGTAAGAGTCAATAGTGAGAGGGATAAGATGCGAGAGATGGTAAAGAGAGGGACAGATGTTAAAGAGAGGGAGAGAGGTCGTAGAGAGAGAGAGCATTCTGTTTAACCTGTTTTCCCCTGATGTGTCACCTGTCCCCTGCTTCACCCATGGTATCTCTCACCCGCGGTGTCTCCTCCACAGAGATCCAGCCTCAGAAACCACGGGTAACGAAGGAGGAAGATGAAAGCCGCCTTGACAACCACATCCCGCACGGAGTCTCCGACAACGACAAGGACGACCTGGACGACTACGGTGACCTGGACGACTCCGTCAATAACTACCTCGATTCATTTCCTCCTGGAGGAGTCCTGGAACCTGAAGGAGAGAGAGAAGGACTGGCGGAGGATCAGAACTTGCCTAAGAAGTCTTCGGGAGGGATAACCTTCCCGTTCTTGAACAGTAGCGGGGCGGTGGGCGGGGTTGGGTGGTGGTGGGCGTGGCTGGTGGGTGGGGTGGGCTGGTGGTGGTGGGTGGTGGGCTGTGTGGGATGCTGGTGGGCGGCGTGGGTTCTGCCCACTCTCTAGGATGCTCATGCTTGATGTTGTTGCTATGTAATGTTATGCCTACACCTTCACCCAACTTGTACATCGTTGACCTACTGATGTTGCTGTGAGAGCCTCTCCTGCCTCTGTCACGGGCCGCGTCTGCTTCAAGCCCTCGTCTGTGGCAAGACCTTGCTTGTGGCAAGACCGCGCCTGTGGCAGGACCTCGTCTATGCTACAGCCTCTGTGGCTGCACCTGCAACACTCCTGACGAAGAACACCGACCTCTGCTTCACTGACTGTACAACGAATGCTTCACCTCACTCGTGACCTACCTCTTTCCTCCTCCTCCAAACTTGCTTCTCCCCCTCCCTCCTCCCACTCCTTCCCCGAGCCCGCCCTCTCTCCCCACTCCCTTCTCAGCCTCTTTGCGACATAGAATGGGTGGATTATCAATGTATATATATATAGATTATTTAGCATATTTTTAACAGTACCTAGTGAGGGACTTAGTGCTTCCATTTTCCATATCAAACAGGGTCACTCCTACCTTGAGTTAGGTACCTTTACTTGCTCTCCTACTAACACACACACAAACACACACACAGAGAAGAGATACGATACAGCTCTTGGAGCAGGGAGAGAGTGGACGTAGTATTGACCCGAGAAGAGACGGGGGCAGGAGCTGTGACTCGACCCCTGAAACCACAAATTGGTGAAATAGGTGAGTAAACACACACACACACACACACACACACACGTATAGCCCCACCTGTTCAGTACAGCTGCTGACAGGATCCTGTACATCAACAGCTGTACTGACGTCCCCACACTGCACTGATGTACTTCGTTAGCATCTCTACTGATGTCATCTCCCCCACTTATGATGTCTCGTGGACCTTTGTAATAGCTGTATTGATGTCTCGTTGCCAGTGTCATCAGATCTGCTTATATCCTACAGGACGTCAGCAGAGCTGCTGGTGAAGTCTCTGAAGTCAGTGTGGTGTTGATGTCTCGCGATGTTTGCCCTGAAGTAAATTGTGTTCCAGACATTACAGGAACGACATTTTGTAATCATAGACAAGAGAGATATTGTAGATAAATATGTAATATTATAGATTTGTATTATCCCTGATGTGTGTGCAGTGCACAGGCGGTGCACAGGCGGTGCACAAGCTGCTACCATATGGTGCACAAGAGATAGGAGGGTTTAGGGTGGAGGTTCAACTGGAAACCTGGTACGTGAACCTCTCTTGTGCGTCATGGTTGTGCACCACCTCAACACTGCCTTGTGCACCTGAGCGGTGCGGTGTGCACTGCTCACTCCGATCACACGGACATCGGCCCTTCCTCAACATATCTCTAATGTGATATACTCAATATCTATACAGTATAGATGCCAGATGTGGTATGTTCCTCTGGTGGTATACCGCCACGTGAGGAAGGTATACCAGTCTAACTCCTGGGGCAATAACAAACACTATGTTAATCCTGTTGTCAAATAAATTATCCTCGTCAGAGATGACGGAAAGAACGAGTGAGGATTTAATTAACCTTGATAAAAGGTGAGCGTTCACCTACACCCCCACTACACGTTCACCTACACCCCCACTACACGTTCACCTATACACCCCCACTACACGTTCACCTACACCCCCACTACACGTTCCCCATACCCCCCCAAATACACGTTCACTATACACCCCACTACACGTTCACCAAACACACCCCAATACACGTTCACCTACACACCCCAATACACGTTCACCTACCACCTCCACTACACGTTCCCTACACACCCCCACTACACGTTCACCTATAAAACCCCCACTACACGTTCCCCTACACACCCCCAATACACGTTCACCTACACACCCCCACTACACGTTCCCTATACACCCCCCACTACACGTTCACCTGTACCCCCCCACTACACGTTCACTACACACCCCCAATACACGTTCCCCTACACACCCCCACTACACGTTCACCTATACACCCCCCCCTACACGTTTCACCTATACACCCCCACTACACGTTCACTACACACCTCCGCTACACGTTCACCTACACACCACACTCACGTTCACCTACACACCCCCACTACACGTTCACCTATACACCCCCACTAACGTTCACCTACACACCCCCACTACACGTTACCTACACACCCCCACTACACGTTCACCTACACACCCCCGCTACACGTTCACTACACACCACACTACAGTACCTACACACCCCCACTACACGTTCACCTACACACCCCCACTACACGTTCACCTACACACCCCCACTACCGTTCACCTACACACCCCCACTACACGTTCACCTATCACCCCCACTAAACGTTCACCTACACACCCCCAATACACGTTCCCTACACACCCCCCTACACGTTCACCTACACACCCCCAATACACGTTCACCTACACACCCCCACTACACGTTCCCCTACACACCTCCGCTACACGTTCACCTACACACCACACTACACGTTCACTACATCACTACACGTTCACCTACACACCCCCATTTACACATTCACCTACACCACTACACGTTCATCTACACACCCGCTACACGCTCACCTGCACACCTCCACTACACGTTCACCTATACACCCCCACTACACGTTCACCTACACACCCCCACTACACGTTCACCTACATCATACACGTTCACCTACACACCCCCACTACACGTGCACCTACACACAACCACTACACGTTCACCTACACATCTCCACTACACGTTCACCTACACACCTCCACTGCACGTTCACCTACACACCTCCACTACACGTTCACCTACACACCCCCACTACACGTTCGCCTACACCACTACACGTTCACCTACACACCACTACGCGTTCACATACACACCTCCACTATGCGTTCACCTACACACCTCCACTACACGTTCACTTACATCCCCATTTCACGTTTACCTACACATCTCCACTGCACGTTCACCTGCACACCTCCACTACACGTTCACCTACACACCTCCACTACACGTTCACCTACACACCCCCACTACACGTTCACCTACACACCTCCACTACACGTTCACCTACACACCCCACTACACGTTTCCCCTACACACCCCCACTACACGTTCACCTACACCATCCCACTTCACGTTCACCTACACACCTCCACTACACATTCACTTATACTCACCTCCACTACACGTTCACCTACACACCTCAACTACACGTTCACCTACACACCTCCACTACACGTTCACCTACACACCCCCACTTCACGTTCACCTACAAACCTCCACTACACATTCACTTATACTCACCTCCACTACACGTTCACCTACACACCTCAACTACACGTTGACCTACACACCTCCACTACACGTTCACCTACACACCTCCAATACACGTTCACCTACACACCCCCACTTCACGGTCACCTACACACCTCCACTACACATTCACTTATACTCACCTCCACTACACGTTCACCTACACACCTCAACTACACGTTGACCTACACACCTCCACTACACGTTCACCTACACACCTCCACTACACGTTCACCTATACACCCCCACTACACGTTCACCTACACACCCCCACTACACGTTCACCTACACACCTCCACTACACGTTCACCTACACACCTCCACTACACGTTCACCTACACACCCCCACTACACGTTCACCTACACACCTCCACTACACGTTCACCTACACACCTCCACTACACGTTCACCTACACTGTTGCGTCTCTTGCATGGGACTCAAGGTGTATTTGTTATTATATGTATATATTTTCATTTTTCACTTAATATTATATTGCTGATATTTTCCTTAATAGCTAAAATGAAGATATTTTGCTTTATAATATTATCTGACGTTATATTATTTAGCTAAGTATCTATGTACGATGTGTTTTATTGAATTAAGTCGGGAACTGTTGTGCTAATTATCGTAAGATAGTCAGTCGGTCTCTCGGGTAGGTGTCTCATGAACCGAGTTGACGTCTGACTTAGAGGCGTTGCCTGAGTACCAGCCTACCTCTAGTCTTGGTAACATCTCGATGGCTGAGTACCAGCCTACCTCTAGTCTTGGTAACATCTCTTTTGCCCGAGTACCACCCCTTTACCTCTAGTCTTGGTAACATCTCGTTGCCTGAGTACCAGCCTACCTTAGTCTAGTACCATCTCGTTGCCTGAGTACCAGCCTACCTCTAGTCTTGGTAACATCTCGAGGGCTGAGTACCAGCCTACCTCTAGTCTTGGTAACATCTCGTTCCCCGGTACCAGCCTCCCTCTAGTTTGGTAACATCTCGTTCCCTGAGTACCAGCCTACCTCTAGTCTTAGTACCATCTCGTTGCCTGAGTACCAGCCTACCTCTAGTCTTGGTAACTCGTTGCCTGAGAAACCAGCCTACCTCTAGTCTTAGTAACTTTCTCGTTGCCTGATTTACAGCCAAACCTCTAGTCTTGGTAACATCTCGTTCCCCCGAGTACTAGCCTCCCTCTAGTCTTGGTAACATCTCGTTGCCCGAGTACCAGCCTACCTCTAGTCTTGGTAACATCTGGGTTGCCTGGTACCAGCCTACCTCTAGTCTTAGTAACATCTCGTTGCCTGAGTACCAGCCTACCTCTAGTCTTGGTAACATCTCGTTGCCTGAGTACCAGCCTACCTCTAGTCTTAGTACCATCTCGTTGCCTGAGTACCAGCCTACCTCTAGTCTTGGTAACATCTCGTTGCCTGAGTACCAGCCTACCTCTAGTCTTGGTAACATCTCGTTGGCTGAGTACCAGCCTACCTCTAGTCTTGGTAACATCTCGTTGGCTGAGTACCAGCCTACCTCTAGTCTTGGTAACATCTCGTTGCCTGAGCACCAGCCTACCTCTAGTCTTGGTAACATCTCGTTGGCTGAGTACCAGCCTACCTCTAGTCTTGGTAACTTTCTGTTGCCTGAGTACCAGCCTACCTCTAGTCTTAGTACCATCTCGTTGCCTGAGTACCAGCCTACCTCTAGTCTTGGTAACATCTCGTTGCCTGAGTACCAGCCTACCTCTAGTCTTAGTACCATCTCGTTGCCTGAGTACCAGCCTACCTCTAGTCTTGGTAACATCTCGTTGCCTGAGTACCAGCCTACCTCTAGTCTTGGTAACATCTCGTTGCCTTAGTACCAACCTACCTCTAGTCTTGGTAACATCTTGTTGCCTGAGTACCAGCCTACCTCTCGTCTTGGTAACATCTCGTTGCCTGAGTACCAGCCTACCTCTAGTCTTGGTAACATCTCGTTGCCTGAGTACCAGCCTACCTCTGTCTTGGTAAATCTCGTTGCCTGAGTACCACCCTACCTCTATTCTTGGTACCATCTCGTTGCCTGAGTACCAGCCTACCTCTAGTCTTGGTAACATCTCGTTGCCCGAGTACTAGCCTACCTCTAGTCTTGGTAACATCTCGTTGCCCGAGTACCAGCCTACCTCTAGTCTTGGTAACATCTCGTTGCCTGAGTACCAGCCTACCTCTAGTCTTAGTAACATCTCGTTGCCTGAGTACCAGCCTACCTCTAGTCTTGGTAACATCTCGTTGCCTGAGTACCAGCCTACCTCTAGTCTTAGTTACCATCTCGTTGCCTGAGTACAGCCTACCTCTAGTCTTGGAAAACATCTCGTTGCCTGAGTCCCAGCCTACCTTAGTCTTGGTAACATCTCGTTGGCTGAGTACCAGCCTACCTCTAGTCTTGGTAACATCTCGTTGGCTGAGTACCAGCCTACCTCTAGTCTTGGTAACATCTCGTTGCCTGAGCACCAGCCTACCTCTAGTTTGGTAACATCTCGTTGGTGAGTACCACCCTACCTTTTGTCTTGGTAACATCTCTTTTGCCTGAGTACCAGCCTACCTCTAGTCTTGTACCATCTCGTTGCCTGAGTACCAGCCTACCTCTAGTCTTGGTAACATCTCGTTGCCTGAGTACCAGCCTACCTCTAGTCTTAGTACCATCTCGTTGCCTGAGTACCAGCCTACCTCTAGTCTTGGTAACATCTCGTTGCCTGAGTACCAGCCTACCTCTAGTCTTGGTAACATCTCGTTGCCTTAGTACCAACCTACCTCTAGTCTTGGTAACATCTCGTTGGCTGAGTACCAGCCTACCTCTAGTCTTGGTAACATCTCGTTGCCTGAGTACCAGCCTACCTCTAGTCTTAGTACCATCTCGTTGCCTGAGTACCAGCCTACCTCTAGTCTTGGTAACATCTCGTTGCCTGAGTACCAGCCTACCTCTAGTCTTAGTACCATCTCGTTGCCTGAGAAACCAGCCTACCTCTAGTCTGGTAACATCTCGTTGCCTGAGTACCACCCTACCTCTAGTCTTGGTAACATCTCGTTGCCTTAGTACCAACCTACCTCTAGTCTTGGTAACATCTTGTTGCCTGAGTACCAGCCTACCTCTCGTCTTGGTAACATCTCGTTGCCTGAGTACCAGCCTACCTCTAGTCTTGGTAACATCTCGTTGCCTGAGTACCAGCCTACCTCTAGTCTTGGTAACATCTCGTTGC